GAATAGGCATTACTTACTCTAYTGCAGACTTGGAAGTAAACTCATGTAATTTTASTTCTATGACAGTAGTGAGTCAACAATAATGAGWACATCACACTTACCTGRTGYTGTTTTTCTTCACCACACTAAACAGCATGGAGGATTAATTTTGAAAAGCAAGGGCTGAGGATTTCTACACTTCTCCTTTCATCAGCTGCATTATCCATATAGTTCACAGTTTGGGACAATCTGTCATGCTCTCCATTGTATCTCCTACAATACCACTTTCCAGAGCASTCTCAGTCCTGATTGGAAGTATCTTTTGTTTTTAATTGAAATGTCAGTTTTGGAATGATAGTGAAATAAAGGAATAAACCGCTGCTCTCTAGAAGCCTCTCTACTGAATGCAGCATTAGGAGATGATTTTGGACCTTTTCAGAGCCACTTCCTTACAAATGGGTACCTGTGGCTGTCTCAATGTGAGCACTGAGATCATTATCCATAATGAAATCCCTCTTCACACTGAACAGCAGCAGGTTTTTCTCTTGAAGGTGTTAATGCTTATTAATGTTACAGCAAAGTTTGATGCTGCATCCATGTGAAAACAGAATTATATATAAAAATAATTCCATGGTTTTGGACTAGAATTTTGTGAAGCTCCAGTCTGAGCTGATTCATTCTGTTAAACAGAGGAGTTCCGGCAATATCATTTTAGAGGTAAAATAATGCTTTTTAATAATAAGATAAAGGACTGCTGYTGTAGCTCATGGCTATGATGGATTCATAATACCTGGGGGTGGCTACAGAATGGGTTATCTCACACTGGCCAGTTAACAGAGAGCAATGATTTCTGGCCAAGGCTTTTCCATCCCATCCTGTTTCTTGGGACATTCAGGCTGCACAGCTGYAGTTGTAACTCTTGATGTCTTTTCTTCCATTACTTTGAGTGTGGRAATATTTACAAGAAAGAACAAAATCAGTTCTTCCATCAAACCAACAGATTCTGAGGTACTCTACCTCTTTGGAGTTGAGGGAAAGTATCTGCTCACCCAGTGCTGATAAGAAGAGCTTTGTATGTCGTTGCATGTCTTGTACATTTAGGGAGGTGGAACTTCCTGTCTGGCTCCAAATACCTGAGACAAATCCTTTTGATTTTTTCTGAAATTCAGACAAGAAATCAATAGTGACACATTGTAACTCAAAAGAAAATTAAAATTATTGGATTGATTCCTTGCASTTGTTAACTTGTTAAATGTGTTGCATGTCAAAACTACTAGCATCCAATACAATTTGCAGTTGCAAATTGTTAGCAATTCAGAATTGTCTMTGGAATAGGTGTTTTCATAACCCATTCAAACCAGCTGGGTTGGAGCCTGGCTGCTACTTAGGTGTGGGGKTTTTTGGCAACTAACCAGTTAATTAATTCCCTGCTAAAACCATACCCCCAAATACCATTTACTGCATTTACTGCAGCTGCACCAACTTTTTACTTCCTTTCATCACAACAATGAAAAACGTTGCGTGTGCTGTGTAAAACTTGCAATACCTGCCCTCATGGAATGAGCTGGATGGAAGCACTGGGGGATGGATGTGCTTTGTGCCCTGATCCTTCTTGGTAACGTAGCGGTCTGCTGGAGAACTGCATGATAGAGTTACATTCTGGATGCTTGGCCTCTGATTCACCCCCTCGGGACAAATCTTTGCTGGAAGTGAAGCTTGGATCAGGCCTGCGAAAGCTGATAGTGCACCAGAGCTCACCTACAATAGAGGTCTTATGTGGGGACGTGGCTGTTCCTTTTCTGAAGCCGTCCTCTTCTTTTATTCATGGGATGACGTGCTCATATTCATTTCTATATCTCATAAACCTCAAACTATAATGACTTGGCTTATGAGGAGTTCATAATTCAGTGTCTAATGTTCTTGCGTGTAACTCAAAGCCTCTGCTACTTCTGACTTGTGAGAAAATGATAGCCAAGCTAAGTGACTCATTCTTTGCAGTAAAATGAGCGTGTACTAATTATTTATCAGTGTCTTACCRTTAATTTGGCTGAAGAAAGAGCTGATTTCATAACACACAAAAGAGCTGTGTAGACTGTAAAAAMCATTATAGTCAGAAAGGTTCCACCCAGATGTAAGCGATAAGTCAGTTTTATATGACAGAAAAGCAGTAAATGCATGAAYAGATTCTTAAAGCAGTKCATAAATATATATATATATTTGTATGCATCTATATATATTTCCTCCTACTCACTGCTTTCTACAATGTTTATCCTAATTTCAGCTTTCAGAATCTATTTCTAAAAAGCCAGCATTATATGAACAAGGGYTCTGTTATGCTTGGTCTCTTCTAGCAGTATTTTTGAAAAGCTGAGGATTTTTTTTTTTTAAGTGGGCTGGTTTATTCTTTCTGAAGATACCTAAAAGCACAGCTGGAATACCAGACGTGTGGTATTCACTCCACGACTTCTGTAGCCCCTGAGCAACCTGCATCAAGCCCTGGGGCAGGGGATGAGTACAAGGTGATGCCTTATGGGTGGAAGCAAATGAGGAAGGCACCTTCCAGTGCCAGCACTCATACACTCCTTGAACCAGGTGGAATCTGGCCCATTCCTGCAGCAGTTTATATCAGGMATAGGAATGGAAATGGCTGAAGGGCATCTTTCACTCCCTTTCTCTGTATTGCAAAGTTTCCCTTCTGCTTTGCTGAGCCTCAGCACAATAATCTTCATCTGCAAACTAATTATAACGCACAGCTAAATCCAGACAGTAACTGGGAGGGAAGGATTTGAATGTTTTGACAYGTTGAGTCTCCACTGAAATTGCTACATCTGGAGTTGAACTTTCAGAAGCTCAAGGCAGGCACAACTTCTGGATAGAGGGATGGCACGTGCACAGAAATCAGGCACTAAAGCCACAGATTTCTTTTACTTAAAAATTACTGCAGGATTTGTCTGACCATTACATGTTTATCTCATTACCCTGAGCTCAGTGGAAAAAATTAGACACTTCTAGRGCACATTTTTTCATTCTAAAATAGACATCTAAATAGGTCACATGCATCACAACTTGTAAGTGCCAGTATCTCGAAAGCTGATTTTATTTCTACATTTTGGTTTAGCATTAGCAGCATTACCTCATTACTGTGCTCAGAGCTGGCAWTATTTTCTCTTCCAGAGCCAATAAAAACTCCCCTGTAATAGAACTTGTTCAAACCACTTACCTGTATCAAAAAATGTTTTCAGTGAGGCTGGAGCTGCAGGCAGCCTCAGTCAAGATGACCCATTTCCCATTGTTTCCTGGAACAATATTTAAAGGCAAATTATGTCACCATGAGGTGCTAAAGCAAAACAATTTTTCAACAAAACTCAAAAGCTTATAATTGTATAGCAATAATAGGATGCATTTTAGAGATACGGTGATTACTCTTAAGTTTTTGGCAGACTTTTATAACTGTAATKCATAATTACAATGCAATTATTCTTTCTGCCACATGTGAGCACACTTAGCCCATGTCCTTGGAAACTTGCCGGTAGGCCTAAGAATAATTGTACTCTAAATATTTGGTAATTAATATGCCTAATATGCCTAGTCCAAAAATTACATGTAAAAATTTGAAATCAAAGGAGTAATAACACTTAATTCTTTTATAGTTAACCTTCCAGTTACTTGAATGAGTGCTAATTAGATCTAAAAACCATAAGCATGCTTTTACAGTAATTATAATGATGATTATGTTGTAATTACAGTTGTAACAGCATAATGAGATTTACTCCTTAACCATTTCAGTCCTTCATGGAGTTCACATGAAGCAGCTGTTGTGGGAAAATTCCCATAGAACTTACCCAAAGGGGCACAGAGATGTTGGCTGTGACAGCTCTGGAGCTGTTTCAGATGCCTAGAGGTCACAGAGRGAATTGGAGATCACCACAAAAGCACACAGCTCAGAGCATTTTCAGGAAAGGCGAGTGCTCGATCATGTCAAAACCCTCCCCAAAAAGCTCTGTGTGTCAGGAGGGGAAGGTAAAATTGCTCGTGTCTGGCAGCTCGAGCTGCCAACAGCCTGTGAGCCAGAGCTTTGGCAGCCCTGAAACAGGACCAGGGCCAGAAGTGCGGGAAGAGACTTCCCGAGGGCAGGAGGATACAAAGTCCCTCCAGGGAGGGATGAGGATGAGCAGGAGGTGCCATTGACCCCTTTGCCTCTGCCCACTGTCCCTCCCRTGCCAGCACCCCTCCCTCCGTGCCTTTTGGCTGTGTCAGGACTTTCTATAGGTGCCACCTCATGCTCAGGGCTGGTGTTTGGTGCCCTCTGAGTCAGGCAGGGAATGCAGGGTGAAGGAAAGAAAGTAGAGATGACAGCAGCACGTCAGCAGCAGGCTGAGGCCCTTGGAACTGCTGTCCCTGCTCCACCCAGCGAATCATCGCTCTCCTGTCCCCCCTCTACAACCAGCACCCCGAGGGACACACTGAAAAACAGAAATGGGACCCAAACATTCCCATTCCTCTGCTTCCGAGCTCCATCATCTCTGGTGGCATCACCRCAGGTGCTTCTCTCACCTGAGTATTCTGTTCTGGCTTCTGTATCACTTTGTACCACAAACATGGCAGGGGCTGCTGAGGCAAAGCTCTGCTTTTCTGCCCATTCCTTGCATTGATCCAGCAACCGATGCACAGGCTCTTTCCCCCTTATTTTATTTAGCAATAACAATTTAGGATTTTGAACAGCAAGAGCAGGACACACACCCTGCAGAAAAAGCAGGGAAAAACATCCCTGTTGCTTAAATCAACGAAACCAGCSCTGCTGCAGGACTTCCTTCTTCCCTGTCCCTGGTGCTCCCAGCTGTAGAATAAGGGAGGGAACAACAAAAATGCTGAAAACGGGGAAGAGCAGGATTATTTGCTCCGAGACGGATCCTGCCGTAGGTACCAGGAGCTTGTCTCCTCCCCTGTGAGTTTAACCCCACCCTCTCTTTTTTTATGCTCTGGGCTATTTTGGGCAGGCAGCGAGGGCTGCGGCTCTGACAGATGAGGATACTGTACCAGAGCACAGCAGCACTTGTTGCTCTGAAGAACTACCGTAACAGTGRCTGCTCCTCTGCTGCCTGCTTTTTCTTAATTATTATTAATTTAATAACCTGCAAACTTGTTTACTCTGCTGCTTTCGAGCTTTATCATTACAAATGATGTTTTAAGAGCTTTGTGAGAGTGATTCAGAAGGGAAACTCACACGCYGTGCAGTTGAAACCTCCTTTTGCCACTTAATAGCAAGAGATCAGCTGGTAGCTTTGGGGGTGAAAAATGACAGACTCTGTTGCTGCTAATGGGGATGGAAAGGACCCTGAAATTGAGCTCTTTGTGAAGGTAAGTTGCGCTGTGAACTGGACACTGGTGTGACTCTCGGATCGGCTCAGCTTCTACTGAATAATCAAACTTTAATTTTCTGGCGCTGAGCGGAAGCGGTGCTTTGACAGCCTGTTATCTTTTGCACACACGCTCACTCTGCTTTCTTCTTCGTGACATTAGAATTAGGTAATGTTGTGGAGGGAGAGTCAGAGTTCCTGTGTTTTATTGTTAATTCTCTCCTCGTGAGTTTGTTCTGTTATTCTTAGCCTGCTGCCTGCAATGTACTGTGTCCTAACTTTAGACTTGAGGCTGTAGACTTCAGGTTTTGCTTTATGAATCCTGACTATCTTTTCCATTTTTGGGAAGAGCTGAGGGCTGCCAGGGTTTGGTACCTTTGCAGAGGCTTTCAGGTCTGAAATGCTGATGGATCATAAAACAATAAGGATTGAGATAGGCTGGCAGTCTTCTGATTATTTACTGCAATACTTGCTTTTTTTTTCTAAACCAGTAAAAGATAAATCAGATTTTACTCTCGGTTTCCTCAGCCCTGAAGCTCATTGCGATCTTATAGAAGAGCAACTGARAACAGAAACCAATTTAATGAAAATATAGAAAAATGAATACACCTGTTATGTGGTTGKGTTTCAGAATGTTTCAAGTTGTGARYRACTGTTGGTCTTGGGCTGTGAAAAACTTACCCTCAAAATCATTGGCACAGTTGAAACTTATGACAAATACAACCTTATTAATAGCAAACTTTGTGCAAACTCTGTCTCAATGAGGAGCTCAGATTTTTTTGATGCTCAGAGAGTTTTAAAGCCTCTACAGCCATTGAGGCTGAAATCCCCTATGTCCATGTAAAATCATGGAATCACAGAATGGTTTGGGTTGGAAGGAACCTTAAAAATCACCTTGTTCCAATCCCCCTGCCATGGGGAGGGGCATCTTCCACTAGACCTGGTTGCYTAAAACCTTGTCCAGCCTGAACACTTGCAGGTGTTTGGTCTTGCTGAGTTTGAACTACCCCTGTAAATCCTTAAGATTGTTATTAATACGTAGGAGTTACCTCAGACCCTTTGCAAACAGAGCCATGAATGATTAGGAAAGCAGATTCCAACCCCTCCCTTCTGTCAAGATKAGGGTATGTAATTGCTTTGTACTCCCTGACAGATATTTTGGGCTGTAAGTTGAAATGTCAGCCACATCTGTGATGTGTATACATCACACATGTTCCTTCACACATCTTCCAAAACCAGTCAGTTCAGGTGCAGCTGCTCTGACTGAGCCAGCAGTGAGGTGTTCTTTTTCCTAGCAAACAGATTTGACAAGAATTTCAGGTTTGTAAGTGCTCTGTGGACCCTTTGTACAGAGAGATTAATATACTAAAATGGACCAGCGTGAGTCCATATAGCCAAATATCTCACCTCTTACAAGTTGTTTCTACCAAATTGAGTTTAATAGAGATGTTTGTGGGCTAAAAAATAGGTTGGTGAGGTTGTTGGGCACTCTGTCATYAGTCAAATGTGTGCTGGAATGGAAATCTGTTGCTGCTGATTTGTTTTAGTGCTCGCACTATTTCACCGAGGCTGATACGGATGTTTGTGATATGTGGTTCTTTGACTGCATCAGCTGTTAAAGTGAAGGTCATTGCCCAGATTCATTGTGTGAAGCTCCAGATCCATAAGATATTGGGAAAAATGAGCACTGAATTAAACCAAAMCTTGCCACAACCTGAAGATTTATAACTCCAGAAAGAACATTTTTAGTAATGTGACTTCCTGCATAATGCATATTGCAGAATTGCATAGAGACTCACATAAAACTCAGAGCTGGAGCAAAAGAATTAATTGGTATCTTCCTGGAGACTTTCCATTTAGGTTGAAAAATTGTAATTCTTGATGTTTTGGAAAGGTGCCATTAATTTAATTAAAAGTTTAAAAGGTTGTATAGTAAAGCATGTAACCAGACTATTAAATTACATATCTCAGAAGTTCAAAAATAAAAAAGAGAAGAACATCCAAAGGAGAGACAAGCTGAAAGCTGAAAAATAGGACCATGTAAGAGAATAATGGGCAGGTAAAGGGCAGGTAAAAACTTTTCTGGAAGATGACTTTGCAAATAATAGGATATTAGTAAGGGGAGATAAACAGGGAGGCTGATCAGGAGACATGCTGCTAAGGGGAATATTCTTACTCTATTTTAAGGCTGGAAAGAAGAGAAAAGTGGAAGCTTCTGTAGGACCATGAGATACTGGGACRAGCAGCAAATATAAATATATTGGACCACACTTGAGGCAAGCTCTAAAAGCAGGGGATGTTKGGATCAATGAGAAATTCCTCATTTGATTTTTGTAGAGCTAATACTTCAGCCTAGGAAAAGCATTCTATCCTGCATCCTTGAATGAACACACAGAAAACACAGAGAAAGAACAGTGAGAAAATATAGGGCAGTAGATGTGGCCTGGTGGAAACTATATCTTCYACAAGCCCAAATAAACCAGAAAGGGCTGTTTTTCAGCAGCCACAGTGTCTSTAATAAAAGCATTTTCTGTCTCAGGTTAAAAAAAGAAAGGTGTTACACAATTGCTCTATTTCCCTTTTCTGTTTATCAGCCAGGAGTGCAGGAGCCTCTGACAGACAAGCAGAGAGCGGGGTTGTAACCAAAAGAGCTGCTCTGTAACCTAATGCAGGTTGGCTCAGGATCTCCTGAGCCTCACAGACGGGCTGGGCACTGCCAGGACACARCTGAGCTGCGGTGGCAGGGACAGGTTAAGTGGTTATCACACCTATTTGTTATCATCCCCATTGATTTCACTCTTTTTCTAACGGTGCCCTAACCTGTATCTGTGAGGTATTTCTTTTTAAAGAAGTGTTTTTTCTTGCAAGGTGCTTAAAGGAGAGCAAACCCCCCCAAATCTGGGGCAGAATACAAGGAGAGTGATGGTGGGAGTGCTGAGGTCTGGAGATGGTACTGCCTTGATCAGAGGTGCAGCTTGTGCAAGCAGGCCTTTGGTGAAYGCTGAAACTCTCCAGCAGCAATTCCCTCTCTAAACTTGTTTGACAGGGAATTGGAGGAGGCTGCCAGAGAGAAAAGTTTGATGCGTGAGASGCTTGTGGCAGCAGCTCTGGGGAAGTGAACATCAGGAGGTAGTGCTTGCTCTGTGCTTAACCCAGCTTGCTGTAATTCAGGCAAATTTCTATCCTTTGTGTGCTGGAGAAGCAAAATGCTTCTGTATAAGTGACGTGACACCTTGTTGAAAGGTACATTTAGCTTTTCTTGGCAGTCTTGCACCTGTATACATGAAAATTACTAAACTGAAGTATTGCTCTTTTTACATGAAGTAATACAATTAAAATTCCTAAGGGAGGACCACAGAATATTGATGGCTTCTTTCTGTTTGCAATGGAAATGGTGTTTGGATGTACATTCCTTGCCTTTCAGGATTAGAGCAGTACCTAATATCTAGAAAAGTTAATTTGAAGGGAGATCTGTTGTACCTGTGGTAAACGAAACATGATGCAAAGAAGACTGCATTACTCAGAATGAGTGCAATCTAGAAAGCAAACAAAGCCCATAAGTGGACCAAAGTACATTTCATTTTAAAAAATCTTCCTTCTTTGGAAGCACTCTATATCAAGATGTTTCGTAATCCATATTTTTGATAATGAAAAAATGGTGATATCATGGTAGCAGGAGAATGTGTGGTAAACTGGAGGCAGCTCCTTCTAGGAGTTATTGTTGTGGCATTGATGAATTAATTTTAAGGATTGATGTCCTGGGCTGCACTGAAATCAGTGGGATGAGCCAGTCAAGAGAGGTGATTCTGCCCCTCTACTCCACCTTTTGAGACCCCACCTSCACTGCTGCATCCAGCTCTGGGGTCTGAAGCAAAATAAATATGTGAACCCATAGGARTGAGTCCAGAAGAGGCCACTAAGTTGATCACAGGGCTGGAACACCTCTCCTATGAGACAGCTCGGAGAAGAGAAGGCTCCAGGAAAACCTTGTAGAAYCTTCCAGTACCTAAAGGGGGCTAGAGTGGGATCTTCCACAAGGGCACATGGGATAAAGGGAAATGGCTTTAAGCTAAAGGAGAGTAGGTTGTTACTAGATATCAGGAAGAGATTCTGTACTCTAAGGGTGGTGAGACATTGGGACAGGTTGCCCAAAGTTGTGAATCCCTGGCAGTGTTCAAAGCCAGGCTGGATGGGGCTCTGAGCAGCCTGGAGTAGTGGAAGGTGTCCCTGCCCATGGTAGGGGGCTTGAATGAGATGATCTTTAWGGTCCCTTCCAACCCAGGCCATTTTAGGATTAGATGAGTAAGAGCTTTTGMTTGAAATGTGTAAGGCTTTACTCACAGGTTTACCCACCACCCCTCTAGGGAAAATGTGAAAGTGCTGCAAATGTACAAACCAAAAGAGACCTCTYAAAGGCCTTGAGCTTCCACAATCACTACTTCAGACATTTAACATGTCCCTGTCTGACAGCTGACTGGGTTTGTTCGGATTCTGTGTAAAAGTGATGGCAAGATTTTACATCAAAATTAGTATTGCTGAATGAATGGGTCAGTCAGAGAGCCTGACTGCCAGGACAGAGCAGTTATCAACAAGTGTGCTCCATCAATGTCCCGGGAGCTGCTGCTCTCAGGAAGGTGTTACTACCCCTCTTTTGGACACAAATATCCCAGAATTTTTTTTTCAGAGGTGCAAGTTGTTTTTCTTTTAAAATATGGGGTTTTTTGGGGTACATTTTCTAGATTTTTTTCTTAAAAAAGTTATTTCTGCTGAAAGGTGATTTCAGATCAACCTTGGTTTGGATTTTGGTGAAGTCACATAGCCTTAGAGGAAGATATAAATAAAAAAGTTGCACCTATTATAAGCAATTGTCCCACACTATTAAGATTTTTTGTCATTTTAATGTAAGAGAGTCACTTTGATAAGAAAACAGATTTCAGTTTCAGAATTTCAGGGTTATCACAACCMATACTGGCTTTGCAAACCTTGAGAGATAACTTGACA